TCTCTCTCTCTCTCTCTCTCTCTCTCTCTCTCTCTCTCTCCTGCCCTAAAAAATAAGATATATTATTTAAAATGTAGATATGCATGAGACAAGTGCAAACAGCGCTGAAAAATGCTAAGATCAAAACCGACATCAATTCTTTTCTACCTCCTCCCAATCTGATCAATATTTAAAAAATTCAATCAAATCTAAAACTACTTATCCGATTGGTTGCACGAAAGAGCGATACAAATTGATCGAGTCGCGCATTCTCAAGCGTGGAGGCGCCAACATCCTTCAGACGAGTAACAGCAGACCGACAGTCTATCAGGAATTAGAGCATAAAAATAGAGAATCTAGTGCCTAAGGACACGAACGCGGTAAGATCGCTTTCGCGCACCATCGTACGCTGCCATAAAAGAACGCACGAGAGAGAGAGAGAGAGAGAGAGAGAGAGAGAGAGAGAGAGGGGGGGGGGGGAGGAAGAGTGGAAAGGACGCCAGATTTTGATGGAAAAATTTGGAGCCGCAAGACCGATCGCGAGGTCGGAGCAGCGCAAGATGCCGAGTCAACCATAGCCGGTGTCGTCGCACTGTGCTCGCGCGGCACTCGCGCGAGCCTCGCGCTGCCGCCGAAAAAACGAGCCGCCAGCGGTGCCGCGAAGTATTTTCGTCGGCAGCACGGTAAGGATGCCGTCGCGAGGCTCATCCCGGAGTGGCGCGCCTCGCTCGCGCCGAAACGACCAGGAAAGATCGGCAAACTTTGAGAGTCGCGTGCGATCGTGTAACACAGCAGGCGAAATGGGGCTCGATCTCTCGCGCACCGAAGATGATGGCCCCACGAGTACGGCGATTCACATTTTCGCGGCTTGATATGCGCCCGATACGATCACAGCAATGCGAAAGTACTCACCCCTTCTCGTCGTCGTCCATATCGGTCTTCACTCTCATAATATTTCACTTAAAACTACGAGAATGTTGTAATTTTTAGGGCGCGAGTGGGAATATGGCACGATGCTTTAACGCGGACGAGGGTAATGGCTCCCCACAATGAACGCGATGTCGAGAACAGAATGTAAACGTAACGGAGTGACGCGCGTCACTTCCGGAACTGCGCGTTGATCAAATCAGCAACCAACGGCGCATCACCGTAGTAATATGGAATAGTAAGAGATGCCAGCTCAGGCAAACTTGATCCTTTTGAGGAAAAATTTGCAGAAATTATTTCTAAATAGATACTGAATATAATATTCCGCAGAATTAATATCGGGCATTAACTTGTATAAATCACGTTCCTCCAACACATATATAATATATAGACCAAACATTCTCTCTGCAGAGTGAAGTTGTCAATGGCTGTAGCAGAGAAAACTGGTTTACAACTGTTGTAACATTCGTAATTCTGATTGGTGTAGGCTCTTCATCTTGGCTAAATCTATAAAGACACATACCAATCAAATTCATGAATTTTACACAATTATAAAGTAGTTTTCTCTGCTGAACACAGCCATTAGCGATTTGAGACAAAAGGAGAAAGCTATTTTGAGTTATTTTTTCTTACTCCAGCTCAGAGCGGCTCTGTTAAACATCATTATATTCCTTTTATATGATATATGTATACAGACACACACATATGTATGTGTGTAGAATAAGGCAGAATCCACATGATATTGCAAATGTTTTAAAGCGCCAAAGGCTGTATTTCGATATTCACAGTACTGAAAATCTATAGTTCATGTGTTACATATACTATAGATTTTTCAATACTAGCAGAACATCGGAACCAAATAAACCAATATGATTGGTCTATTCGTCACTTAGAAACATCTACAGCGCTAAATGGACCTTAACAATGAATATTTTTACTAAGAATATGGTTTTTAACAGTCGCTCTAGCTAGAATGATAAAGAGATAATCCCAAAATAGCTTTTTCACTCTGACTCAAACTGTCAAATGCCAACTTCTCTCGATGAAATGCTTGGTCTATGTATACGTGACTGCGTCCCGATATTCACTGCCAGTACTGAAAATGTACACTATAGGTTATCTGAATTATAGATTTTCAACATTGGCAATGAGTGTCGGAACGCAGTTCATGTCGCTACGTCCTCTCTCTCCTCCTCTATATACGATCCTGCGAGGAAAACATTCACTTGCGGCATATATATATGAATCCACGCAAAACTTACACGGTTTTCATTATAATAACAAATAATTATTTATAACTTAAGTTCTATGATATATACATATCAGAACTGTAAGCGTTAAAATGGTAAATGAGTACAGTAGTAGCAGAGTTCAACGATCTGTCGTCATACTCAAATAGCAGAGGATACCAAATGACTAAAGTCACGTCCTGAACGAGCTTTCCGATTAAGTTTGCTATTACTCCGACGCAAATATGGATGAGCCTTATAGCATACCGCTAAACTAAAAGGAAATGATAAATTTAATAACCGTTTGAAAATTCAAAATAAAGAACTAATAAAGAACTACGTTTATTGGTCGAATAAGTACTTATAAGCTTTATGATTAGCTAATAGAAACTTATGACGTCATTAATCGCTCTCGGAGCGATTAACCCAGGGTCAGTCGAACACACTATAAAATAGAGGAAAATTTAACTACCTAGAGAGCACAAGAAGTCTGCTGTACCAAGGAAAAAAATGGTTAAGGCCGGTATTCATAATCGAATCTTATTTCAAGACCGCCTTAAGTAATGTCTTAAGATGCGAATACGGCTCTGTGATTGGTTCATGAGATCTTAAGACAGTACGTAAGATGATCTTAAATATAAGATCGGACTATGAATACCGGCCTAAGTCACAAATTTAGTTAACCACTTTTCTCCTTAGCACGGCAGAAGTCCGGTATTCATAGTCCGATCTTATATTTAATATCATCTTAAGTACTATCTTAAGATGTTATGAACCAATCACAGAGCCGTATTCGCATCTTAAGACATTACTTAAGACGGTCTTGAAATAAGATCGAACTATGAATATTGGCCATAGGGACGTACTCAAAACGTGCTAAGTCAATCGCAGTACATATGAGAACATTCTGAGATGATCGCAATATACGCATTGCGATCTACTCAGAACGTCCTCAGAACGTCCCCGTGCTGTTAAAGTCATAGTTTTTTTGTTTTGTTTTATTTTATTAAATGTTCGAACTGTTGACCATTAACATCTAAACACTTATTAATTTTTTTTACAAAACTTTGCCTAACTCTAAACAACATTTCTGGGGTCACCTTAGTGCAAGCTGTACATATTCTTCGTTT